AGTCGCAGTGCTCGGTCATGGGCAGGGCATAAGGAAGAAACACAATCGTCAGTGAAAGCCAGACTCATGCAGCTCATCATATCGCTCCACAAACAAGTGTAAAAATCAAACTATTAAAAATGTTACTTAGGGGGCTGGGAATTTAGCTCAGCGGCATAAGCGCCTTGCCTTGCAAGTGTGTGTCGTGAGTTCGATCCCCAGTACCGATAAAAGAAAAAGACAAAAAAAGAAATGTTAGGAAAGTTTCATGGCCATGGTAGGATTATGTAATAGAGATTTAATCAAGTCAATAAAATCACAACTTCCCTGAGATTCAAAAAGATGAGTTGGAAACAACAGAGGCTGATGAGGAGAGGCACATGAGGACAGTCCTCAGAGAAGAAATCATGTGGGCAAAGAATTTGAACCTCAGTCTTCTGACTCTGTGGAACGGTCCCTTTCCTCCCCTCACTGTGGAGCCCAGCCAGCCAGCCCATGGCCACCACAGGTGTGCAAGATATGGTTCATTCAACTAACCAAGATGAATTTAATAGAATCTATACCAAACAGTTTTAGAGTTTCTACTATGACTTTATTTCAACAACACTAAAGTAAAGTGCCATAGATGAGAAAACAAGAAAATATTTCCTCTCCTAAAATTCATTGCCCTGCTCCTCATTTCAAACTGAACTTTCCTTAGACGTCAGCCTGAGATTCCATGAGCTGGTCACTGAGAAATGAACCTATGTTAAGATAAAGTTTTGGGCTATTATTCTCTATAACTCAGTGTCACATTGTGATTTAATAGTATGGAAAGTATTTACACGCATGTTGTGTCATTTAGCCCTTCCTACAGACACTATTTTGCCCTCCAGTTTACCAATAGTGGCACAGAAAAGTTCAAGCACTGAGAGCTGGAGGAGCATTGGAACTAAAGAGCCTGTCTCTTCCTGTCCAGTGACCAGACTCTGTGGAGCAGTGCTGGACAGTGCCTTAAAAGGCCTGGGTGCCCGAACTAGGTTTCCAGTGTCATTTGTGCCCTGCTTCAGGCAATGCATTTGTCTGTAAGAGCTGTCACAGCAGAATCCCACAGCCTGGGTGGCTTAAACAAGAGCGGTATATCCAGCTCTACAAACTTTAATTCTGTGACTTGAACAATTATTTCTAAGATGGCAATATGTAATCTATTAACTAGTGATTTCCTACTGCGCATTTTTTTTCTTCTGTAAATCTGTATAACTTGTACCCTTCACTGTTTTTTTTTTCTTTTCTTTTCTCCTTAAATAAAAATTAAAAAAAAAAAAAAAAAAAAAAAAAAAAAAAAAAGAGCGGTATATTGTTTCACCGTGCTGGAAGCTGGAAGGTCTAGATCAAGGAGCCGGCTGGGCTGGTTTCTAGGGAGACCTCCCTGTCGGGTTTACAGAAGGCTGCCTTCTCACCCTGTCCTCAATGCCTTTGCTCTGAGTTCTCCCGGTTCTGCTGTCTCGTCTTCTCCTTCTATGGACATGAGTCCTGTTGGAATCATGCATCACTTATGACCTCACTTCACCTGAGTTACCTCTTAAGGCCCTACCTGCAAATATTTCGGAGGTTAGCACTTCGACCTATGAATCTAGGGAGTAGGGTATTCCGTAATAGACGAGCTACTCACTCCTCTGCCTCTATTCCCTTTTCTTTTCAGACCAAAGCCGTACTTACCTCCTTGTGAGGACTAAACGAGATGACATACAGGAAGCACTGGAACGAAAGCTAGGCCTGGATGCAGGCACTCTTCAGGCACTGGCTAACTTTCTACTCTATGACCATTCTCCAGGCACTGAACCAGATAATCTACTGCTCTCCCTCCACTCGCAAAACAACTAAACAAACAAACAAATTCCCCAAAAACCCAATTTCTCAAAAACTATATGCTGAATTATTCTGGATTTTCTTTTTTGTAGTTGTTATTGTTGTAAACATGAGCATTGCCTTTGATGTTTCTTATGGCTTCTCTGCTTCTCTGTTCACCTTTGTGGCCAGTATGCTCCAGTAGTACTGAGAAAATCCTTATTGTGTGATTTCTCCAATACTACAACTTTTTCTGTGTGTCATATAACTAAGTCAAACATTCTCGCCAATGCTGACCATTTTCAGCTAAGCAATGTTGAGAGTATGAGGCCAAAGTGGCAAGAATATCAATGACTCTGGCCAAGAGTAGTGAAGAAAGGGAATTAAAAAAATGATATACACAAAAATAATAGTGCTTTGCCAAAGTTATGTGTCTGTAAGGGCAGGATAGGCGACCAAGAAAAGTAAATTATTGTTACTTTATTCATAATCCTCTAAACACCTCATCTTACCTGGAGTTCATCTTTGGATTACAATAGACCCATCTCTAAGGAAAACGTGCTTATTTTTCTGGTATCTCTTTGGAACTTTTTAAAAACAAACTTAGAAGAGTAAATTTTGTGTACTGAACTCCACAAGAGAAGTCACAGGACTGGCCTGAACTTGAAGAGATCTTTATGCTGCATTTAAATCCCAAGGGTTGAAGTGCTTATACAAAGAGTCTGGAATAAAACAAACAAGATATCCACCTCATTCAAATAGAAGGAGGCTAGTCTGGCATTTCCAGACTCGGAAAGCACAAGACCCCAGGGAAAAAAATGCCTATGTTCAGTAGAACATTCATTTGTCTAACCTCCTCAAAAGAAGTTCTTCTGTGTAACATAACTTTGGAAATTCTCTCTTCAATTGTTTTGAAACTCACTGTGAAAGATTTCAAAGACTGGTCTGGTTAATTCCTTTGATAAAGAGGCAAAGTCTGCTCAATAAGATTTAAGTACAAAAAGTTCAGATATACTAGGCAGACATTTTGGCTTGTTCACGTTATGAACCAGTTATTTAATTAAAATAGAAGTTCTTTGGTAGATTTCAGCATCTGATTGATTATTAAATTGCTTGGGGGAGCGCTAGGAAACAGGGTAAAGTGGAAGAAGCCACTTCCAGGTAAAGACACTGCTTCTTCAGAAAAGAGAGGCAGTGACATCCTCCGAGACTCCAACGCTTCCCCTGAGGGAAAACACGTTCCCTTTGCAGAAGGAGTTCAGGAACAACACTCCACTGATGTTTTTGAGCGCAGAACTTATGCCAGCTAGCACTTGTTACATTCCCCAGTAAGCCTGACCTTGGACCAGGTGCATTCAGTATTAATTCACTTAATCCTTCAGACATCCATGAAAAGTGACAACATCGTCTCCTCTTGCTGGGTAAAGAAATTTAGCTAAGAGAGTTGCAAAGTAGTTTGGGGCTGAGATTTGGGCTCAGAGCTCAAGCCCAGGGTCTTTCCATGTTACTCAGCATCGTAATGAAAATTGATAATGTTTACCGCTTCATATTAGCATATTCTTGTGCCTTTTTTCCTTTAAAAGAGTTGAGTGATTTGACAGAGTCCTCAACACAACACGAAAGTTAGTGTTACTTCCCCATTTAAGAAAAATGATTGTCTAGTAATTGTAGTCTTTATTTTTCCTGGCTTATATTATACAGAGCTATGAGCTCTGGAGTAGACACCTACTCTGGGAGTAGGACACCAGGACTTAGTCCTGGCTCATTCCCCCACTGACATATGAGGTTAGGTAAATTGTGTCACCTCCTCAGCCCCAAGTCCTCATCCATCAAGTGACTCAGGCTTATATGGTGAGTGCTGTGCATTTTTCTTTCATTCTCATTCTCAAAACATTTATTACACATGAGTAAGATGTCAGTATGAGATGTTCTTACTCAGCAGTGACTTCTTGCTTTCTTAAAGTCTTGGTGCTTATTCTTCAAGAATCTCTACCTGAATTAGAGTTAAAGTCACTGGACTAGATTCCCATGACAAACTACTTTCTAAAACACAGAGCAGGTAACTCTTAAAAGGACCAGGACCCAAAATGAAGGGTGGAGCTGTCCCAGCAGCAGCAAGCCAACAAAGACAAGTAGCATCCAGTTTCAAACTTGGTTTACCGTTAGTCTGAGCTTTGCTATGATTCAGAATGCAGGATAGACATCTTCTGACCAGCCCTGATCTTGCTGCTATCCTTTTCCCTTGCACATTAAATAAATGTTTATCTATAAGAACTGCTATGCATACAAAAAAAACCTTAAATTCCTAACAGAGGTGGATTTATCAACAATTTAGTTGTCACTTGAGGCCGTGTGGTGCCAGGTACACTTGATGCTTTATTAGGACCACTGAGTAAGAAGGTCACGTGGTGCCAAGGTCATTTGATGCTTTATGAGGACCACTGAGTAAGACAGATGAAAGGGAATGCTCCCTAAGACCGCCCTTTCATTCTCTCCAGGAAGAGCAACCGGGCCGGCCTGAGAGTTGCCTCTGATTAGTGGCACCCCTGGAATTTGGGTTGCAGAAATTAAGTTGGAAAGTCACTTCCCTTGCATTGCCGCGCATTGTCTAAGTGACTTGGGAACACATACAGAGAAACTCACCTAATTAGTTCTTCAGTTTAGCAGAGAGACAGGGTCTTTGGGGACAAGATGGCTACATGCTTTACCCTAGTCTATCTGCAACATATCCCACCAGTGACCAGGGCTTTCTCACATCAGCAGGGAGAGACAACATCATCTTCAAGGGGAATGCTCCCACTGTACCCCATGGTCCTCTCCCCTTCCTCTGGAATCACTCCAGTGGAGCAAACAGATGTGGATACAACAGCCTTGAAGGTGAGAGTCAGTGTGACATCAGTAATTCAATTAATTATTTTAGCTTATTATTTTTAGCTATTGCCATGGTTATTCTCTACCATTCAAGACGTCATCATCTTAAAAGGAATATCCTGTGAAATGGGTCTTCTTAACAATACCAGCATGCAAAAATTGAGATTCTTGTTAGGATGTAAGGCTGTGACAGACTGAGCCTGGAGCCTCCACCTGCTTTGTGCATATCTTGCTCAACACAGTGTCCTTGACAGCAACAGGCTGTCCCTCAACACAGTGTCCAGGAAAACAATCATCACCTGCAAAACCAAGCGCACACTTACTGTCGTCCTCAGCAAAACAATGTCTGCTTCTTGCAAGGAACATGGGACACAGTTTGCCCAAACATGCCAGGCCGGTCTCCAGTAAAACACCAAGGGGAGAAGTCCAAAGGAGAAGATGGATCCAGCAAAACAGAGGGCTTTCCGGCAGCCTTGAGTCCGATAGCCAAATATTTCCTGAAACAGAATCACAATGACTCCAGATATCGCTTCAGTGCAATGAATGAACAGAAGTTGATTTTTAGCAATGAACTGGGGACAGAGGAAGAGAGTTGGTGAGCGTGAGAAGAGATTGTGGTGAGAGATGGGAAAAAGTAGCAGGATCCCAGACAGAGAAGTTTCAGATAGATCCCAGACCTCCAAGAAAGAGCAAGCAGTCTAGCCTAAAACTTCAGCAGTTAGCTACCCTGGGCCAAGAACCACGCTAGGTATTCAGAGATAGGATTTCTGGGAGTCTCCCAACCATCCATGTCCTTGACACCCTGAAGTGGAAGAATATTACTCCCACTCACAGACAATGGGACTGAGCTCAGAATAGCTGAGTGGAAGGGAATCACTTGTCCAAGGACACACAGCCAGAAGTTCTGCTGTTCAGCTCCAAATCCAAGTCTGTCGGCTACCAGTCCTGGAATCAGGTTCATAGTCATAATGCAGCAACACGAGCCATGTGACAGGAAGGCTAGCTGGTGACAGTGACCAAGTGATTCCCATGGCTAGGGTCAGTGACAAGGGCAAGAAGGACTATAACCGGGCCTCAAGTCAAAGGCAGGATTTGGTGAAAGAATTTGATCCCCAAAAGAATCATATTTATAAATATCACAGTGTGTCTCTAGTGTAAAAAGTAATAAGAAATGTAGGAGTAATAAAATACAAAATGTGTAATTGCTGTTGTAAAAAAGAGAAGAAAAGAAAGTCTTCTAAAGGATATAACTGCATGTATGTTTAAGTGTGTAGGGTTGATAGCCATATTACTAAGTTTTTGTTGGCTCATTGAACAGAACTGTTTGCATTCTCATTGTTTGAATGTCCACTTTGTATGATTTAATTTTGTAACTTGAACAACTATTTCTATGAGGACAATATGTAATGTATCGACTAGTGATTTCTTACTATTTTATTTAAATTATGTATTATTCTTACCCTTTTTCTGTTTTTTTCTCTTTGAATAAAATTTTTTAAAAAATAGAAAGCAGTAACAGCTAACTTGTCTTTGGGGGTTGAAGCTATGTCTCCCCCCCCATCCTCCTATGCTCAGGGTCAAACAAAATTTACATAGCAAAGGAAACCTCTGGGGCCACTCAGTTTACTTCCCCTCTGCGGTTGAGCACCTGCTGTATGACCCGAGAAGATATTCATCCTGGAGAAGATAAATTTGAACAAAACAGGAGCCTCACTTCTAATACATGTATAATCCAGACAAATTTCCTTCCAAGTCTGGGCCAGAAAAGCAAATGGCTCCTAAATGTTATGGCTTCATCCCTCCACTGCAGCTCACAAAGTCACATACACTAGGTGAGGCTGGAAATGGTGCTAGACTTTTTAAAATTACAATAAAAGAACACAGTACTATGAACCCCCTCCAAATACTCTGACTTGTTTCTGACACACTCATCCCATTGCTCTTTCTACTTCCTGAAGCAATTCTAGAAATTCTCTTTCACCAACGTCCTTGGTTGTGCCATCATGGCTGCCTCGATGGCCTAAAACAATTCAAAATATTTGCCTTTCATGGTCACTTTGACTTTGGGAAAGAATCAGAAGTCACACAGTGCCAGCTCTCATGAATAAGGTGGATGGGGACACACTGTCATGTTTTTAGAAGCCTGCCTTTTGTTGGATGGCTCTTGGCAGGCAGCATTCAGTTGATTTTGATCATAGCTTGTAAAGACACTCATGAAAGAGGACTTCAGAACTGCTTCACAAACTGGCAAGAACAATGGGGTAAGTATGTGTGAAATGAGGGGGAGGATTTTGAGGAGGATTAAAGGCAATCTATCTTTTACAGTAGTAAATTTTTAAATGCAAATATTCACACATATTTTGATCATGATTGTATACTGATTATAATAGCTAAAACTGAGAAGTCATAGAATGGCATGCTTAAAAGAGCAGATACTAGCTCTGTCATTGGGAGTGTGACCTTCTTTGATCCTCAGTTCATGGTCCACAAAGTGGGAGTAGTGACCTCCCCACTTTGCAAGGCTACTGTGAGCTGTAAATGATGGATATATTCAAGTGCTACAGAAGCAACTTGATCCAGACTCCCTGGTGGAGACCGGAAGCTCCAGCTCCTGGTTTTTTTGTACAGTAGAGCCAAGGATTGCTACTGTAGATGGTTGTGCTCTTGCCAAGACAGCCTCTGAGACTAACAAGGGAGCTGCATGAAAGACTTTACCCCCACCCACTTCTCTGTCTCACCTGATAAGACTCCATGACCAAGACAGTTTCTGTACCTCTGGCTGAAGGCTGCCTTCATATACAGTTTTAAATTACCTCCTATTCTTTGCTACCATAGGAGCTGAAAGGCATCCTGAGGCACTGTCTACTCCAGGTATAACTTTTATAAAATGTGCACATTAACTCAGAAATACAAGCTCTGCATTACCTTACAAAGCAGAATGTCGGCCCTGGCATGAACACACTTTGGCTCCAAGCTCACACCAGTGCCTTCCAGATGCCAAGACTAGAGTGGCTCACACATCACACCCACCACAGTGCTCTATGAATCCCACACTGAACAGATCCAGGGATTATCTTGAGTCCAGCCACCGTCTGGTCCATGAACTTTGCTGTTTCTACACTTTAGCACAGATCAACTCCCCACACTTCCCAATCTCATCATTTTCTCATTTTTTAAAAGAATACCTTTAACAGGTTCCTTATATTTCCATGCACTTGAGTCTCATTTAGCCATCCCAAGTTACCCTGCTCTGTTGCCCAAGTCTCTCTGTAAGAGTGCATTCTTTATGGCCTGTGCCATGAGAGACTGCTATATCCAAATTATCTTCATGTTCATTATTACGATAAAGGAGGCAAAAACTATTACCTTCATTGTCCAGCTAGGAAAACTGAACTTTGAGATTATTACATATAATAACAATCATTATTAATAACTAATTCTTATTGGTAACAATGCTAACAGCTAACATTTTGAGGCACTTAAAAACCCTTTACCAAGCACTTTACACATAGACTTCCAATTAGTTGGGAAAGATTTACTAAGTTTACCAAGGTACAAGGCTTATAACTAACTCAAAACTGGGCCTCCAGTGCAGACCTCTAAGGCACATGGTAGTGAGGGTTGGCCACTTCTAGTCTAATCTAATCTAGTCTTCTCCCTGTTTCTAATTTCAGTTTAATTTGCTACATGTGTGTTAGTTGCCTGCCAATGGCAGTCATGGGCTAGGCTCAGAGATAAAGGAGACAATGTCTCTAGCTCTAAGGAGTCCATTAGTTTAGTAGAGAAGAGAGACACAAAGAGGCAAAATTAAGCAAAGAGGAGTGAATAGGTTACACAGAAAGGTGACCTTATAAATTCTCACCTACATGCAATGCTATTTTTTTTTTGTCTTTTTCATTTTTATCGGTACCAGGGATCAAACTCACGACCACCTGCTTGCAAGGCAGGTGCTTATGCTGCTGAGCTAAATCCCCAGCCCCAATGCTATGAATAATAACCCTGGAGTAACAGTAGTGCCAGTGCCCCAGCCAAGGCAAGCAAACCCCTTCCTGTTAGGCCACAATGTTACTACTCTGCAAGTTCCCTGGCTCTGTGGCTGGTGGGCATTACGAGTCCATTCAGTGATTCCTGACCCATAACACTGTTGAATTTTCCATAAAAAGGATGAAAAACATGGGCAAGGAACGTTCAATGATTGTTTATTGAAGTGAGCTGAATTGCACTGACTTGAAGTGAATTGCATTACAGGCACCATTAACAGATACTGGGTTTCAAATTGCAAAAATTAACATGGTGCCGTTATTATCAATGGGTAGCAATTTGCTGCCTACATTTCTGGAGTGGCCTCCGTTCCCTGAATGCTTGAGAAGCTGCGCTCCACTAGCGCTCACCTCCCACACATAGAGATCAACGAGCCAAAACAAGAACATGAGAAAAATATTCAAAGGATATTACACAAATAATTAAACTTAGGGAGAGCTGCGCGCATTACCAGAACAGGGAAGCGTCCCTTTATCCTTCTCCCGCATGCACATTCTTCTCCTCCCTCTGTTCCCGAGCATCCAGGTTCCTTGCATCCGTAAATATGTCTGCTTTGGCTCCCAGGCACCCAGGCCTTCTCCCCTGAAGGGCCACTATGCTCAGAAGACAAGAGTGTCCCCTGGAGCAAGTTTCTCCATATAAATATATATATTCAGGGTTGGGGGAGATTTCCAGACTCTCCGCCAGGCCCTGCTCAAGAGAGGTCATGAGGCAGAGTCAGGCTGATCTTTCAGGACTGACCTTAGTACTTTACCTGAGGGCCTGACACCAGGTACGCACTTGTTGACTACAGAAGTGGAAAGAAACAGGAACCTGGAAATGCAGGTAAAGGTGCGAGCTGGGACAGGACAAAGAAGTTTGTCTAGGGTAACATCATGGCGTGGTGGCCTCCACAGCGTGAGAGTGGCTCTCAGCCACCTCGTCCTGGAAGAGCCAGCAGAACACATCTCACGGGGAGATTCTAGGGAAACGGCCTCAGAGGCGAGGGTACAGCGAGAGGAGGAAGTGAGTGTAACTGACACACCAGCCAGACAAACACGGCTGTAGCAAAGCACCACAGTGCAGGCTTACACTTAAAAAGAATTTATGGCCATAAAAGACACATTGCCACCGGTCCCTCTTGTGTCCAGCACACTTATCCCATCGTTCTCACCGCGTTCTAAAGCAGTTTGTGGAGTCTTCTTTCAGGACTGTCTTTACGTGAGCTGTCACGACGGCCTTCGTGTCCTGAACTAACTCAAAACGTCTACCCTGCATGGCCGATCTGACTTTGAGGAAAAGCGAATAGTCACAGGGTGCCAGATTTGGTGACCAAGGCGGATGAGGACACTTTGTCACATTTTACAAATGGAAGAGAATAGTTTGAGGAAGATTCATGGCGATGCATCTTTCACTGCAATAAATTTTTAAAATGTAAACATGCACGGTACCTTTTGACCCGCTCTGCGTGTGTGTG